TCAGAAATTGAACTGCTACGAGCAACTCTCCGCCGCTGTTGCCAACCGCGCATGGCGCCGTCTGCTCTGCATCTGCGAAAAGGTTTACTACGAGCCCGTGCTGGAGTTCTACACGACCTTCAAGCACACACCCAGGACGATTGGAGAGACGGTACAGCCGTCCAATTCAGGCTCGGCGGTGCCCCCCGGTCCATGAGCTACCACGAGCTGGCCGAGGCTCTCGACCTCGACCTAGACGACCGTGGGCGCTACATCACCGAGGTCAATGACCCGCTGGAGGTGGACTTCCGGAGGCTGTACACCCGCCTGGCTCGGCCAGGCCAGACGCGTCCCTTCTCGACTGGGAGGACGAAGGCATCTACCCTGCTGCTCGACAACCGCCTTCTCCACCACCTCCTGGCGAAGTCTTATACCCCAGCGTCAGACAGTGCCAGCGCCATCACCAAGAGGGCCATGTACTTCATCGCTTCGATCCGCCAGTACAATCATCCTCTCCACTTGGGTTTGGTGGTGGCCAGGACCTTCGAGAAGACTGCTACGGAACTGAAGAGCCTCCACTGCGCCCCCCTCATCACCCGCCTGGCCACATACTTCGGGCTTTCACTGCAGGGGTGCACACAGTAGGGGGACACCCTCGTCTTTGGCAGGAAGACGATCGGTAAAATGCACCTGCTGCGAGAGAACCGCGGCGTTCTATGGATCGAGGGATTTCCAGAACCTCAGATCCCCGCTGAGGACCAGCCGGAGGATCAGCCAGAGGGCCAGGCGGAGGAGGCAGGTGAGGATGTCGACCCAAATGATGTGGACACTGTTGTTGATCGACCACAGACTGACTTCCATTACGGAGGTGGCAGCTCCGCTTTCCCGGGGCAGGATTACTTCACCTCCCAGTTCGAGCATCTGCGTCTCCAGAACCAGCAGATCCTCGATCATCAGATGCAGTTCCAGCAGCAGCACGCGGCTCACCAGGCCGAGTACCACCAGAGGATGACTGCTTATGATGAGCGCCTGGACATGATCCAGACACAGCAGGGGGTGACTCTCGCACACATCGAGCGGGAGAAGCGCCGCTCTAGGCACATGCAGGAGGTTCAGCAGCACTTACTCCAGCTGCTACCGGGTGAGCAGCCCGTCTGGAGGACTCCCTGGGAGGACTCTCCACTTCCACCTCCCCCGGCGGATGGTGATGATGGTGCTGATGGTGATGACGCCTTCATGGACGACATCGACCTGGATAACCTTGGCGACGAGTAGGCTGTACTCATTGCCCATCTCAGTGTGTTTTTCGTTTTAGACTTTTGTGTGTTTGCTTCATGTGTGAGGGGCTTGAACTTAGTGTCGTTTGTTTTTTGTTTTTGTTTCTCTTTGGTGGATTGTTTATTTTGTAGCCATCTGGGCTAACACTTATCCCTAACGCACAGTGTGCTAGTGTGTTCTTGGTGTTCGATTCGTGCAGAACTGTCCATCTTCCCGTTTGTTTCTCGCTGACTGGTCCACTTCCAGTCCCCCAGCATTATTTCCATCTGGTAACATCGTTCCCCTTATCTCTCCCTCTACTCCATTGAGGGCAATGTCGTGCTTAAGTGTGTGTGGGGGGGGGGGTGCTTTGTATCGGTTGGAATCTATATTTGAGTGCTTGGAGCCTAGTCCGCTGTCCGAATCTTACGATTTGAGGGCTCCAAGTACTACTGTTTGATCATATTGGCACTGTGGTTTGATTGATGAATTGAATGGTTTTCGGATTGATGCATGATAGCTTGATTATGACTAGGACAACCTATGATGAGGACTGAGACGTGCAGTAGAATTTTGTAGGGGTTCAGTTTTTCAACTGTTTGCTTACCAACTGTGACTTGGATTGATCACTTGTTCTTGACAGTCGTTTATGCATCTAGTTCAGGGTATCAGAATGTGAGATAGAGCATATAGGTAGCCATGTGAGATTTGAGCCTGCTCGTTTCTTTCTTGTGCGAGAGATCCCTCTTCCATGATGTGTAGTATTCACGTTGTCACTAGCTAAGATGATGGGGGCATAGGATTAGCCCACGACCAAATTGACTGTCCTGATGTGTCATATCCCCTAGTCAGCCCCTTTGAGCCGTGTGGTCTTTTGGTCTATAATGAAAAATCACCCTTTTGCATCTTTTAGAAGTTCCACAGAGTGGTTTTTACATATTCTCTGCTGTTTATGCTAAATTTAATGTGAGTGTTGGAGGTAGTGCTTAAAAGTTGGGCATGTGTTTGAAATATGTGCAGAAGTGGTGGCTCTCTTAAGAAATGAAAAGAAAAAGGAAAGAAAAACAAAGAAAAATTGAAAGCAAAAGAGACCCACTACCAAAAATCTGAATAATGCCCATTAAGTAGTGTTTCTTAGCAGTCTGGCTTGGAAATGCTAACATTTATACCTCCTTCGCTTTTGTGCTCTTGAGATATTGAGTAATGCAGAATAGCAGAAAGGAAATACTGGTTTGTTTGATTGTGATTGTGTGGGTTTGGAAATGTGGAACCTTGTGCTATGAATACTTCCACCACCTAAAAGGCCTTTTCCCCATGTCCAAGACCCTAGCCAGTCATTTGAACCTTTGTCTAAGACCTCCTGATTAGTTAGTGGTGACACCCCATATGTGAACTCTAGCATTTAGAGGCTGCCATCATGGTGAAGAGATGTTAGGGATTGAGAGAAATAGCATGCGCATTTTTTCGCATCAAATTGTCCTGACCCCACTGGTCGAGAGTGAGTGATTCATTTTCATATTCTATATACTCTTGTACCCCGGTGAGGACCTAGATTGCTCGGTCTCTATTCTGATGTCTTGAGTTGGATGCATGAGGTGACTGTTTTGAGTAAGTGGCTGAGTCAAGTCTAGGTTGGTTGGTGAACAGAAGGGAGACTCTTCCTTTACTCGATTTTGCTGCGCTCGAATGTCCTTTGTGGTGGTTGTCCAGGTTGCTATTGAGTTTGTTCATGTATTGATGTTTGAAAACCAGTACGATTCACGTGTTATGTGCCTTTATGACTTGTCCCCAATGTTGGTTGAGTGAAAAATGTAAGCTTACCTTGGGTATGACTTGGTTTGCTTGGGGACAAGCAAACGGTTAAGTGTGGGGGAGTTTGATAGACCGTTAATTACACATGTTTTTACTCCTGTTCTTACACCGTTTGAGATGTGGTTTCTCGTGTTTTAGGATGATTTCACGCTAGGTTGTGCTTGTTTGTGATATTTCAGGTCCTAGTACGTGAATGGAGGCCTGGAAGCGAGTTTGGGGTCGATTGGACAAAGATCGGGCGCGAGGCAAGCCGATGAGGAAGCCACACGGGCACACACACAAACTTCACACGGCCGTGCAAGTGACCAATGTGGTCGTGTGGGATTGTGCGAGCCTTCACACAGGCACAAATAAATATCACACGGCCGTGTGAAGGAGCAAGGTGGCTGTGTGATTTGTGCCGAGAGCAAACACGGGCAGAGCAGAATTTCCACACGGTCGTGTGACCCTAGCCGTGTGGGAAGCCTGAAATCCAACTAATCGATACGCCGCGTTTTGAGTCACACGGCCGTGTGGCCTGCCCGTGTGAGTTGGGAAATCTTGGTTTTTCACCCAATTCCGAGCCACAAGTGAGAGGATCGGATTTTCAGAGCAAAAACAGAGCCCTAGAGAGAGAAAGTGCGAAGAACACATCCTAGAAGCTATCTTGGAGCTGGGTTTCATCAAATCGAGCTTGGAGATCGTCATAGGAGTGGAAATCATCATCCCAGAGCAGATTTTCCTCATCTTTATGAGTATGACTACTCTGATTACTGTTTTCTTCTCTCTCTCTATGGAGTAGAACCCTTCTCTCACTTGGGTATGAAGAACCCTAGTTCCTTGTGTTAGGGATTTGATTGTAATGACTTGGGATGATTATACTGTTTGGTTTTAATCGAATGATGCATGTTTTATTGAATTGATTGAAGTCTGATCAGCTTTTCTTGATTTCTGCTGCAACCTGAGATAAATAGAATCTGATTAGGTTGTTAGAGCTTCTTCATTCGCTAGTAGGAGATTGGTTATACGAGAGTTAGCCAGTTTACTGCTTTGTACTGGAATCCAATTCCAGTAGTGGAGTTCTGTGCTCATTCTTCAGCTTTCTATCCCGGTGAAGACTAGCCGTCTGCCGGGTAGTTAGACTGAGAGGGCTTGGTCAGCTTAAGAGATTCCAAGCTACTATCGGATCTTCCGCAGTCTAATCAACAGTGAATCAACCCAGGGTAATTACAATTGAACCTAACTAAGGATCTAGGGGGACTCATTCCCGAGTGACTCTTTCCTGCTTTAGAAAACCGAATCATTTCCTGCTTTCTTACTGCTTTTGCTTTAAACAACAATTACTCGACTTAGTTGGCTAGATAATAGATAATCACGGAGTAAGCAGTAGATCTAGACCCCGGGTTGATAATAGAACTTGCCTGTTACTGCATTCCCGGACTGCGATTACACTTGGTCGCAGTTTGGTGTTGTGTTTTGGCGTGTCAGAAGTCAGGTTTAGGGACAGGTTTGCTTGCTAGAGTAAATCGGCTGCCGGAACCTTGCTTCAACTGCTTCTCGACCTTCACAGCAAGCTGCACAATGTCTTCAATGTCCACAAATGGAAATAGCTCTACTTGGTTCTTGATGTCCCTGTTTAGACCTTGCAAAAATAGACTAATGGTAGCCTCCTTGTCCTCGCGGATGTCAGCTTGGATCATGAGAAGCTCCATCTCCCTAAAGAACTCTTCCATGCCTCGACTGCCTTGGTGAAGAAGCTGCAAGCTATCGTGCAGTTGTCTTTGATAATATGAGGGCACAAAACGCTCCCTCATCAATGTTCTCATCTCCATCCACGTCTCGACTGGGGGTAAGCCGACTCAACGTCTCTTGATGCTCAATTGTTCCCACCAAGCAGCAACGTAGCTCCCAAATTCGTAGGTTGCTAGCTGGACCTTCTGTCTCTCAGTGTAATTGTGGCAGTCGAAGATCAGAATAATTGTGCGCTCCCAGTCCAGGTATTCTGTCGGGTCACACACTTGAAGATCACGGCTCCCCAAGAGAGCCCTAACACCAACGGGATCGACATATCAGCCTCCAATCGCCTCTACATCTACGACAGTTTCATCGGGACCGACGACGACTGCGTTGCGATCAACGAGTTTTCTTCCTACATAAACATCTCCCGCATCATGTGTGGGCCCGAACACGGGATCAACATTGGCAGCCTCGGGAAAGACGGCGCCTACGAGACCGTGGAGGAAGTCCATGTCGCGGATTGCACCTTTACGGGCACGATGAACGGGGCGAGAATCAAGACGTGGAAGGCACGTATAAGAAAACCCTAATAAATTTTTAAATTTCACATTGAAAAAGAATCTAATGCGCGATTTTTTCTTGTTTGATTCTTGTACAGAGAGGGAGAGGGTACGCGAGGAAGATAAGTTTCGAGGGGATAAGGCTGATCAACGCGGGGAATCCTATCATCATCGACCAAACGTATGTGAACCGAATGGCGGGGACTATGGGTGGTGAGGTGGAGGATGATTCTTTGTTGTCGTCGGGTGACTTGGAGATAAGCGACGTGACGTATGGGGGAGTGACCGGGTCGTCGTCGGACGCGAGGATGGTGTATTTCAACTGCGAGAGTGGAGCTAGGTTTAGAGACATTGTGGTGGAGGATGTGCAGATGAGTTCTTTTTTGTTCTGGGGGGGGGGAGCCATTGTTTGCGGTCCGCAATAACGCTCATGGGACTTCCAGTGCGGATCGCTCGCCTAGGGTTCCTTGCCTGCTTCCCTGATCAGTTTTATTCGACTTAGGAATAAGGTTGAACACTTTTTTGTTGGGTTCTATAGCGTAGGGTACGTTGTCCACCATGATAGATGAAATTTTTGGGTGAGGATAGTGAAATAGCTAGCTAGGCAAGGGTGATAATATAATTATGTAGTGTGTCATTAGAGTGTCAATGTTAATCAATAAGCAAAAGACAACGGATTATCATTATAGTTTATTACTAGCTTGTTTTTGTTTATGTGTAGAAAAGCCGCATAACAGTTTCATTTTAACTATCTGCGACTGCGCTTAATTCCACCCTAGACAATTGAAATTCCCAAGATAAAATTATTTTATCTAAATTTTGTTCTGCAAAATGGATCTGTTACAAGTTATCATCCAAACAAACTTTTAGATAATCGGCCAGATTTAGCATCTCGAAAATATGCTCTATACAGACTTTCAAAAAAGAAGCTATCTAATCTTTGTTGTGCTAACAAAATGGGGTTGTGTGGTCGCTCCTAACTGTAAGGTCATCTATGAGTTCGATTGTAGTACAATTTTACTAATCCCAACTTTCGGGCAAGACATTTTTCATTTATAAGGATTAATAGGATCACCAAGGAAAAATTGGTAAACCTGTGCATTTTGTGTTCCATCTAAACTTTTGTATCTATACTTACCTTTTAAAAGTTTACTAAAATTCCAGACCTGGCTGAATTCCAGGATGTAACAACTTTTTTGTCGAATCAATATTGATTATCTTTTGTTAAAAAAAAAGTTTACCAAAATTTAGAATTCAACAAAAACAACTTATGAAGTGATCTTATTAATTACCTTGAATATATATCTCTCATTATATTTGTAAGATCTTGTATTTGTGGCAATTTTGGCGAATCAAAAGGGTATAATTAAGTTGTCTCCTATTTACAATTCTTTTCCAATTAGTATCGAATTTAAAAAAAAATCATGAGTAATGTCTATTTTTTATCCAAACCTTTATCAGATTATTTTATATTATCCAAACTTATCGAAATACTAAGAATTAGTCAAATGTTAACTTTCAATTAACAATTTTGTTAGTAATCTTGACTTCACAATATGATATTGACTTGGAAGAGACACATGGGTCAACATTCCAAAATTTTAGTATTTTAATTAAGAAAAGAGTTACAAAATTATTAATGATAACGTAAAAATGGGGATGAAATCCCAAAATACATATGTTTTTAAAAAAAATTCCCAAAATACACACGTTATAAAAAACATTCCAAAAATACACATGTTTGGGCATCACTGCTGTTGTCAACCGCAGTGAATGCATCACCGCGGTTGACGACCGCGATGAATGCTTGTGATGCAACCCGGACCACCTCACAAGATGTCCCTCGAGTTCGAAGAACATACAACGATCGTGGCCCGAAGATGAAGGCTTTAGAAGCTCGAGAAGGCAAACAGAAGAGTCCAATTGACCAAGAGGTGCTCGACGTAGGAGCTGGAGCTGACCAAGAGGTCAATTTAATCTGCATCCTAGAAGAGAAAGAAGGACATTCTTGATGTCCAAGTTGGCCAAACATGGAAAGTCGAAGGAAAGGGGAGAAAGAAGGACATTCTTGATGCCCAAGTTGGCCAAACAAGGAAAGGGAATAATTAGTGGCTAAGAATCTTCAATTAGCATTAAAAACAATCTGATAGAATCTTTTGGATATTTGTTTTCTCCTTTAAAATATTATTTGTTTCATTAAAAAAAACCTTTGATCAATGAAAAACCCTTAATTGAGATTTCATTCTTGAAACTCTTTTATCCTTCTTAGTCCGTTCGTGGAATCGAGCCGTCTAGAAGAAACCGACGTTATCAACTAGCTCATCACCCTAGTTGTGGAGTCACTTCGTATACTTGGCTCTCTGCCCAATTGTGGCTTTGGTTTGAGTTATTTCCGCCCCTTTGCTCTTTGTTTTGCTAATCGATCTTTGCTTCGTATTCTGATTGTTTAAGTCCAGGAGTTAGAGTCTCGACTTATATCACTATAAGCCGAGTCTCTAACTCCTGGACTTAAACAATCAGAATACGAAGCAAAGATCGATTAGCAAAACAAAGAGCAAAGGGGCGGAAATAACTCAAACCAAAGCCACAATTGGGCAGAGAGCCAAGTATACGAAGTGACTCCACAACTAGGGTGATGAGCTAGTTGATAACGTCGGTTTCTTCTAGACGGCTCGATTCCACGAACGGACTAAGAAGGATAAAAGAGTTTCAAGAATGAAATCTCAATTAAGGGTTTTTCATTGATCAAAGGTTTTTTTTAATGAAACAAATAATATTTTAAAGGAGAAAACAAATATCCAAAAGATTCTATCAGATTGTTTTTAATGCTAATTGAAGATTCTTAGCCACTAATTATTCCCTTTCCTTGTTTGGCCAACTTGGGCATCAAGAATGTCCTTCTTTCTCCCCTTTCCTTCGACTTTCCATGTTTGGCCAACTTGGACGTCAAGAATGTCCTTCTTTCTCTTCTAGGATGCAGATTAAATTGACCTCTTGGTCAGCTCCAGCTCCTACGTCGAGCACCTCTTGGTCAATTGGACTCTTCTGTTTGCCTTCTCGAGCTTCTAAAGCCTTCATCTTCGGGCCACGATCGTTGTATGTTCTTCGAACTCGAGGGACATCTTGTGAGGTGGTCCGGGTTGCATCATTCCCTCCCTCTTCAAAAAGATTTGTCCTCAAATCTTGTGGCTGCATATAGGCTCCATTGCTCGGCTCCATCTCCCTCGACCTGAAACATGCACCACGAAAGAACAAACTTTCTCCACAATCCCATGGAATCAAGAGCTCAAACAACCGATCATACATAGGCTCTGAATAATGAGTTTCAAAGCTCAAGGCATCATGAATGTTTCCTTGAAACCTCCAGCCATGTTTCCAAAAATAATAGGTTGCTCCAGTGCCATCCAAACTTGCAGTTACTCGTCCAAAACCTTCATCCCTCACTAGATGCAGGCCACCACCATCTGCCCTCTTGCCATCAAAGCAATCAGCTGTCCAAAGCAAGCTATCCATGATCAAAGCATGAAGACTCGTACACCTCAAATCCTGATCAGGATGAAAACAAAAAGGATCGTGATAGCTTGATTCAATGCGTTCTATTTCAACCACTTCAGATCCACCACTTTTCTTTACTGCAACTTCTTCTACTTCCTTATGATCCGGACAATTGGTCGACGGCTTCTTTTCTTTGACTTCCTCTTTATCTGGAAGGGTTCTGACTTCCTCGACATCCTGTTCTTCATCGACCTTCTCTGCTTCCAGATTTGCCTGTGCCTCTTCATAAAGTCGTTGTAATTGCCTCCTATCTTCAGCAACCTCTTCCAACGATAATGGTTTTAAGGCGATCTTCCTTCCTTGATGACTGATGATGATATGATTGCGGCTGTGATGTTTTCGTGCTTGGCGATCAATATGCCATGGTTCACCAAGTACCACGTGAGTCAACTTCATAGGCACGACATCACACTGAATCTGATCCACATACGTCCCAAGTTGAAACTCCACATATACTTGTTCAGTCACATATACAAAAGCATCTTCCATTGACAATCGCAATAGGTAAGGGAGAGGATGTTGTTGTGTAGTTAGCCCTAACTTAGCTACTGTCCTCGAACTGATCAAATTGGATTTGATCTCTTCATCAACCACCACAAAACAAAAGTTCTCTTTAACCAGAAAACGAGTACAGAACAGATTACCTTGCTCCAACTCGTCCATGTCTGCGACACGAGTAAGCTCCAAGAACCTTCAGAATTCTCTCTGAAACTTCAGGAATCTTCTCTTTTTTTTATTTTCTTTTCTTCGAAAATAGAAACTGAAAATAAACCTTCTTGGCAGCGGTTAAGAACACAAGACCTGATTTGTCTGATTCTCGGTCAAGAAAGGAGGATACGTATGCCACTGTGTTTGAACCGGAGCTCTGATACCACCTGATATAAGCCGAGGCTCTAACTCCTGGACTTAAACAATCAGAATACGCAGCAAAGATCGATTAGCAAAACAAAGAGCAAAAGGGGCGGAAAATAACTCAAACCAAAGCCACAATTGGGCAGAGGGCCAACTATACGAAGTGACTCCACAACTAGGGTGATGAGCTAGTTGATAACGTCGGTTTCTTCTAGACGGCTCGATTCCACGAATGGACTAAGAAGGATAAAAGAGTTTCAAGAATGAAATCTCAAATAAGGGTTTTCCATTGATCAAAGGTTGCTTTCCCGTAGGCATAACATCCTCTATTTATAGAGGTTACAAAATTAAGAAGGAAACTAATAGGAGTTAAAGAAGGAAACAAATAATATTTTAAAGGAGAAAACAAATATCCAAAAGATTCTATCAGATTGTTTTGAATGCTAATTGAAGATTTTTAGCCACTAATTATTCCCTTTCCTTGTTTGGCCAACTTGGGCATCAAGAATGTTCTTCTTTCTCCCCTTTCCTTCGACTTTCCATGTTTGGCCAACTTGGACATCAAGAATGTCCTTCTTTCTCTTCTAGGATGCAGATTAAATTGACCTCTTGGTCAGCTCCAGCTCCTACGTCGAGCACCTCTTGGTCAATTGGACTCTTCTGTTTGCCTTCTCGAGCTTCTAAAGCCTTCATCTTCGGACCACGATCGTTGTATGTTCTTCGAACTCGAGGGACATCTTGTGAGGTGGTCCGGGTTGCATCAGCTTGACATAACACTGAAACTTCAAACAAACGCAATTTTGCGCTCGGTTATCCGATTGTAGCGATTGTTTTTATTTCATATAACTTTTCAAGATATTTCAATCTGCAACAAGACTTAATCTAAAAAAAATGTCGTTTGTTACCCCGAACGAGCAATTTTTCGATTTTGCCAAACTTTGGAGGTAATATTGACTTGACAATATGATATTGACTTGGATGAGACACATGAAGGTCAATATTCCAAAATTTTTGTATT